AGCTAAAAAGTTCATTTCAAATTCAATGAAGCTGATAAATAATAACTTGAACTTTGTTTTTATTACAGTGTGTACCATATATATTTAAAAGGTTATTCCAAGTACTGGTACAATTCTACAGCTGACAGTTGGTACAAAAAAAATGTGTTATTTGGACTTTCAGGGGGATGTTATGCTTGAAACTGGACATGTTAACTAGGTATAGACAAGTGAATTTAATAATAACAGCAAAAATCTGAACAATTAATTTATATATTAGAAATATAAAAAAGTTTCCATTTATGGTAATTAAACATGTACAGTTTAATCCTACAATGTAAGCATTGTTACATTTTTACATTAATGCCATGAAAATGTCCAACAATGATATCTTGAATCCTCTATACCATATAACATGTTATTTTAATGAACCGCATACATGTAGTTAACAATTTATCGATAATGTGGTCAATTACTGAAAATCTTTATTAATTCGTGAGAACTTTATTTTCGCATAATATGCAAGGCAATCAGCTCACAAAAATTAAAAGTATTCCTTATGATTATAAAGAGGAATAACAACAATTTGTGAAAATTATGTCTCGCTAAAAATAGTCAATGACTTGATCTACAGTATTTTTAGTGTACATGATTTTTAGCACAGACTCTTGATGCTTTCAAGATCACAATAGAAGATGCAGGTTTGACTGTTTATAAAATAAGAATCACCATTACAGAATAATGTATAAAGTATATTATAGTACATGTACTAATAAATAAATGAAATATCACAGTGCTTGTGGAGAACTATACAATGCCACGTATAATTTCACATTAAGTATTGTCACTGCTGCCCATAAACTTCTCTAGAAGTTCTTGTAAACTGAGAACGACTCCATGGTTAAATTCTTTTTCCATAGAGATAAATTCCTGAATGTTGTTGGAACATTCTACAAGAGAAAAGTAATATTTTTAGGTCACCTGAGTAAACTCAGGTGACCTATTGCTATCTGTTTTCGTCCGTCGTCGTGCGGTGTGCGTCTTGTGTTAACATTTGAACATTTTTAGCTTCTTCTCTGCAACCACTCAACCGATTTCCACCAAATTTGGCATAAAGCATCTATACGTGAAAGGAAAGAAAAATTGTGAATTTCATGGTCCCTGCCCCCCTGGGGCCTGAGGGATGGGGCAAAAACCACTAAAATTAATGCAATCTTTAAAAATCTTCTTACTCCTGGACATCAAGCAGTCAAACTGTTAGCATGAATGTAATGACCATTGAGTCCTCTACCAAAATTGTGAAATTCATGGCCCGGGGCCGGGGTTCTAGTGCTAGGGCAGGGCTTTATTGATTATATAGTGAAAATGCATTATTTCTTTAAAAATCTTCTTCTCTTCTCCTGGGTTTTAAATAAACTAACTAAGTACATAGTTATGATGAGAAAGTATGCCCCTTCCAAAATTGTGAATTTTATGGCCCCAGGGTAAGGGGTCGGGGCTCTATTATGATTATATAGAGAAAAATGCAGAAATTCTTTGAAAATCTTCTTCTCTGCTCCTGGGTATCAAACAAACTAACTAAGTATATAGTTATGATGAGGAAGAATGCCTCTTCCCAAATTTTGAATTATTTTGGCCCCAGGGTCAGGGGTTCAGGTGTTAGGGCGGGGCTCTATAATGATTATATAGAGAAAATGCAGAAATTATTTGAGAATCTTCTTCTCTGCTCCTGGGTATTAAACAAACTAACTAAGTATATAGTTATGATGAGCAAGAATGCCTCTTTCAAAATTGTGAATTTTATGGCCCCAGGGTCAGGGGTTCTGGTGTTAGGGCAGGGCTGTATTGATTATATAGTGAAAATGCATTATTTCTTTAAAAATCTTCTCTGCTCCTGCGTATTAAACAAACTAACTAAGTATATAGTTATGACGAGAAAGAATGCCTCTTCCAAAATTGTTAATTTTATGGCCCCAGGGTCAGGGGTTCTGGTGTTAGGGCAGGGATCTATTGATTATATAGTGAAAATGCATTATTTCTTTAAAAATCTTCTTCCCTGCTCCTGGATATTAAATAAACTAACTAAGTACATAGTTATAATGAGGAAGAATGCCTCTTCCAAAATTGTGAATTTTATGACCCAGGGCAAGGGGTTCTGGTGTTAGGGTGGGTCTCTATTGATTATATAGAGAAAATGCAGAAATTCTTTGAAAATCTTCTTCTCTGCTCCTGGGTATTAAGCAGATGAACTACCAACATAACTATGATGAGCAACGGCCATTCTTCCTGAATCGGGAATTTCAAGGCCCCTGGGTCAAGGGTACCATGGGGGGGCTCTACTTATATACTGAAAATGAATTAATTGATTGAAATCCACTTCTTGATATTGATTAAACATTTTTGATAAGTAAGGGTGCTTTTTCCAAAATTGTGAAGAGTCAGGGGTTCGTACATGTGTGGTAGTGGCACTACTGAAAATGGATTTTTTTGTTCCCCTAGTCTGTCTATGGGTATTAAGTAACCAAAGTAAGCATGCTAAGTGTATAGTTATGATAAGCAATGGTGCCTCTTTCAAAATTGTGAATGCCATGACATCTAGTTTAAAATGTAAACCAAATTCAATCGTTGGAAAGTTGTTGCATGATGCTCAGGTGACCTATAAGGCCCATGGGCCTCTTGTCTAAAACTCGATCAAAATTCACAAACTTTATTCTCCACTATTACTCGAGCACTGATTAGATCAAACATGATTAAAAAAAACCCTGTGTGTCATGGTCACGTATACAGGTAGATTGTAATTAAGCTTGATAAATTGTTACCTTCTGTTTTAATTGGGGGATAGACAGGGGGAGGGGACATCCACTGACCGTCCTGTGTCAACATGTGTGATCTGTCTGATGCAAATGTTTGCAAAAATTCAGCTGCTGGTATAACTCGAAATAATCTGAAACAATAGCATTAGAAAGAAGGAGTTATTCCCCTTTATGCAGTTAAAATCAATGTTTTAATACTGAATTTATTTTCAACAATCAACATTTTCAATCCACCTAAGCTGTTTTTGTACACTAAATGTTAATGTATGATCAGTAAGAAAATTTCATTATTTCAATTCCAAAACCATTTGAAAATGAGGTAAATCAGAATTTTTAATCCAGTATTTTAAAAACATGAAAAAGTTCTAGATGGATATGCAATGTAGAAAGTCTTTAAGAGGAGTGTTATTTGAATCTTTAAGAGGAGTGTTATTTGAATCTGAGGAGATAAGTTTCTTTTTGTTTCTGCTTTCACAAAGAGATATTTCATTTCTACTTCACTGAAAAAAAGTTGACAAGGGAAAATGAGAGTAGGGGAGCTCACAGTCCATGCAGTCAAACTTTTTGCTTATCTATAAGACATCCCCCTTCAAGGAATCAAATTGTCATATTATACAATTATGGACTCTTTTGGTGTTGAATATGGTTTGTTATTCACCAGAAAAATATTCATATTGACCGAGGCGAATTTCAATTTCACGTTTTTTTCAGATGCTGCACTGATTTGCACTCACCCTTTTCATTTTTTATCATCAAATATTTTGACTCTAACAAAATGAAATGACATAAATTGCATATTTCCAAGTTAATAATTTCCACAATCTTATCTGTTAAAGGTGAATTTATATTCAAATTTTGCATAACAACCATCCAAAAAATAAAAGCATAAAGACAATTATATATACCTCTGAAATTCAGGTTTAAAAAGTCTATCATCTTTGATGGATTCCTCATAATATCTCCTAAAGTCACATGGAAATGTCAAGGTGGTGTCAAGGTCATAGACCACTGCAAGTGACTCTGAGGGTTGGTAAATAAATATAACATGGTAATCCTAAACAAGAAAAGTATACACAACTTGATGCCGTTCATTTTGATATATTATAAAATACATGTATAAGCTTAGCAACAAAAAAATGAGAAAAATAATCACCCAAAAGATTTGGCCATCTTCTCTTTTACTTGCTCTCTGTCTCCAAAATGGAATCTGTAATATTAAATGCAACAGAATTGACATTAATGATTATGATTATTAGTAATTACTGTACAAATAATAATGTACGACACTTTCATAAATCATGGTATTTCAAAAACTTTATATATTTTTCTCTTTTATGTTCAAATTGATTTTTCAAAATTATACATGTCCTGATTCTTTGCATGATTAATATTAATAACAGGAGAAAACTTCTACATGTATGTCATTCATGTTTTTCAGTTATCTTTTTATATAATTTAACATTGTTAAGTTAGTGTATTGTTATTCAAGTAAACTATAAATTATATTATATAATACAATAATATTAAATTTGAATATACTTGCCGCTCTTTTCTTGTTGGATATAAATATGCAGTAGCACTTGTCGATCTTGTCAGGGTATTCTTTTTGTATATTATCACACAAACACCAAACATTTTCTTCACTAGAATTTTAAGATGAAAATAGTTTATGCACCATACCATCTAAAAGATAAATGTAGATTTAATGAATTTGCTCTAATGATCAGGTACAGTGAATGATATTGTTTGGCAATAGGTTAATATTTAAATAAACTGATGCAAAATCATTAAATGGCCATGTAAATGTATGCAGACTAGCTGCAGATTTGCTGTTTATTGGTCTGAAGAAAAAAGGAACGGATGACCAGAAATCTTAAAAAATTTGCAGTACCATCCATCAAAAAGTGTATCCATTTATTGGAAACAGAGTATATGTTGTTTCTTGGCTTATTTCTATATAAATTGATTATACCAGTAGTAATTAACTTCTCTTATGTTTTTGACATATTCTTTTATGATTTTAACAACTTTACACTCTAGAATCCGGCTAGCCCTTCTCGGCCAAGAATATATATCAAACTGTCAAAAGTTTGCTTTCTTATACAGTATTTCTCATATCACAGGAGTTGGTAATTTTGTCAATAAATAGAAAATAAATGGTAAACAGGCAAAAATCCTACCAGTGAGCTTCGCGAAGCTCACTGGTGAAGCTTACTGGTAGGATTTATGCCCATTTACCATTTATTTTCTATTTATTGACAAAATTGCCGATTCCTGACTGTACGTCAGATCTCATCTACAACTATCACTTTGGGCGCCAATACAACAATACAATTCACTTAAATGTGCTTGATCAGCAGATAGCAACTATGAGAACAAATTATAGTCTGGTCGAATTAAGGTTTCTAAATTACACAAAGTGTTTGTATATTCTTAAGCTACGTACATGATGTATGCACACACAACACAATATTCCGTTGCGAATGTAAACAAATGAAGTCATGAAATTATCAATGAATACGATGCATGTGACGGCGTATTTGTTTTCTACATAAAGTAATGAATACTAGAATAAACAATGGTTAAGAGGGATCAAGAAAAGAAATTACCAGTAACAAGAAGTATAAACACAACCCTCCTTCGCTACATCAATGCTCATTTTTTCAATTTCTATTTTCGGTTTAAGGAAATAGTACCAGATCACCAATGCGTTTACCACTGTATATGGAACGCCGTCACTGCCTTATAGCAGAACACTACTACTGCATTGTGTCAACCTTCCATTACATTATGTCAACTCTTTATGACATTAACCCACACTACTATTGAATTGTGCCAACCTTCCATTACATTATGTCAACTCTTTATGACATTAACCCACCCTACTATTGCATTGTGCCAACCTTCCATTACATTATGTCAACTCTTTATGACATTAACCCACACTACTATTGCATCGTGTTAACTTTCATTTACATTATATCAACTCTTTATGACATTTACACATACTACAATTTTATTTCGTCAACTTGCATTTCGTTATGTTTACTTTTCATGACAATCTTAGTTTTTATTAACTGATGTGAAAAGCTCATGCCATACTGTGCGCACTCTTCTACATTATGTCGATTCACTATATTACGTTATGCGAACGCGGGTATCCTCGGCCTTTATATGAGCATAACTTATTTTCCGCGTTCCGCAAGCACTAAAATGGCGGGAGAGAAAACTGTCGTAGAAGAGATTCTCAGCGATTTCGGAATGACATCTTTTAATGAAAACTTTAAGCGACAAATGATTGACAATCTTGAAACATGCAAAGCCTTAACACTGCGACTTTGAATTAAAGTCACGTCGAAATTCAATGGTGTTTACTTTAATCTGATAATTAAATAAATAAAATATTATGAGTCGTACAGCAATCATTTTTTTCTTTTTATTTTGAATTGTTTTTTTTTTTTTTTATAAAAGTCTTAAACTTTGTAGGACTTTGCATTAGTTTCACATTAAGTTTAGCTGAATTAAGTTGAAAACTTTTTTCTATAAAACTATAAAGCCTGAGAGCTTCTCCGCTTTCCGCCCTTGGTCCCCAACCATATACCGCCCCCTTCCTCGTTCAAGATTCCCATATCTGCCACTGATATGTGCCCATGCATGCTTACTAAGGCATATTCAATTGATATAGATGAGCAACTGGTAGATTTTTGTAATAGAATTCTGGCCCTGGAATGATTAAAAAAAAATTACTAACTCCAGTGACGTAGCATCATTTTTTTTTGAAAGAGGAGGTCAGCCAGTAAAAAAAATCATTTATCCGAAAAAACTAGACAAGCCAAGAAAAAAATGTCCAAGTCCGAAAATCCTATTTCGGGGAGAGTGGTCCAACTTCAATCAATCCTATTTTTTTCCAGATATATTATATTACCTTTAGTGGACTATATTTCAACAAGAAGTGGGGGTAAGGGGCTGTACAGTTTCAATGAACATTACATTTTCTATAGTAAAGTTATGTCTGGGAAAAGATGGGGGTTGATATTATGTGCCTGTAATTTGTCCTAATCAATCACGACCCCCCCCCCCCCCCCTTCTTACCAGTCATTAAAACACGGTCGTCAACATTCATTATATACTAGATATACAGCTTTGAGATAATGTAAATGTATTTTTGCATCAGGTAATGAACTTGGAATCCACATGATAAAGAGTTAACACAATATAAAGATATTTTTAAATCACATAAGAAAGAGTTGGCATAACGTTATAATATATCCACATCACGGTATGGAGTTTTGACATAATGTAATAAAGTGTTGATATAATATAAAGATATGTTCACATTATGTTATACACTTTTTACACCACGTAATAAAGCACTGACATAAAGGTAAGATGTGTTCACCTCACATCATGATGCCCTCGCCGTAAAATAAAGATAAATCCATATCACGTAATAATGCTTTGATATAATAGAAATATACACTCCCAAAAAGGAATGGGCTTTTGACTTCATGTGATGATAAGTTTAATTATAGAACACAATTTACTTGACGTAATGCAATTTTGACCTCACATATTAAAAAAATGAAATGATGTAAAGAAACATTCATTTCACGTAATAAAATTTTAACACAATGTAAACACATTATCACTTCACATAATGAATTTTTTACTTCAAGTTATGAAGTGCTGACATAATGAAAGGATGTATTTACTTCATGTAATACAGCATTGACATGATGTTAAGATATATTTTCATCATCCCAGAAAAAATGGACATAACGTAAAGATATGTTCACATCACGTAATGATAAATTGACGTAATAAATGCATAGTTGTATGCTATAAGGCAGTGATGGCGTTCCATAACTGTACATTATTCATGCAATGTTTTGAAGCATGAATATGACATTGATTTCGGAAAACACCTAAGTTCACGAAATGGCTTCAAAACGATTAGGTGATATAAAAGCCGAAAATGCTGTATTTTTCATGTGTGACATTCAAGAAAAATTTAGGCCAGTTATTAAGTACTTCAAGGAGATTTTAGAAATCGCCGAAAAACTGGTATGTCTTTCTTTTTTTTGCTGACCGGTGTCGCATAATATACGTTCCGGGTAACTTGGCGTTCCGGCCGGAACGCTAAATACCTGTAATATTGGTTCCGGGTCATAATAAACGTTCCGGCCCGCGTAAGATTGGTTCCGGCCGTAAAAAACGTTCCGGGCAACCAAGCACCCTATTAAACTCTCTATTTATATTTAATATTGGCTGTTGATTTTAATTTTCTTCTTTCTTTTAATACTTTTGTATAAAAAAAAATATGATACAGCAGGATTTAATCGTAAGACATACATACAGTATGTGTTTACATTTCAAGTCAGAATATGCGGTCTTTTTACCAGAGACATTATATATTTATTGATGTCTCTGATTTAAATATTATATTAATCCATGAAATTCCAGTTGATTATTTTGATTCTTTGTAAACAAAAGAAGGTGTGAAACTTGTTTACATTGATATACCCCCCATCGTGCTGTTTTACGATAGACTTGGCTTCTATTGCTACGAATAATTGCTCAGTCTTGCGAAACGCAGTAAGCACACATGACCACCCTGATCAGATGATAATGGTGATAGATTAATTATATTTACCATATTAAAATACTTTAATTATTAGGTATAATATTTTAATTTCCTTACAATTTTTTAAACACCCATACATGTAGTTGCGTTTTTTTTAAACCAAATATAAAATAAATTAAAATACAAGAACATAATGGGAAACGAGTGCATGCCGGATCTAAAAAGGGAATTTATAATTTAAGCATTTAATACGAAGGAAAAGTGTTTCCCGTTTGTTGATTATTTTTCTTCGTCAGGTGAAGTTTTTGTGTTTTTTTTTTAAATTTTAATGTTATATGTCAACAAAACATGCACATGATCAACTTGGAAATGTTTCAATGACACGGCTAAAAACGTTTGAATAAAATTCAACTCATTTTTATTTATGCACGTAAGTACAAGTACATTTGTATTCATTAGTAAAAATAACACTGAAGAAGAAATGTATTACAGACACAGATCTGTATTTTACTTTTTATATGAATAGCAATGTGAAGTCTGCTCCCCCCCCCACCCCTTCCCCTGCAGTGAACAGTAGACAAAAAACTTGATTTGCTTGGTATAAAATTTTCTATATTTTAATTAACAATTTGTTGAATGTGTTCAACAAACAAACGAGACTTAGTGGGGAAGGCAACCGCGAACGTTTGTTCTATCGCTTACCTGATTTTTCAAAAGACATCTTTGAATGACTTTTCCTATAGATATAATAGATTTTTTTTACGAACTTTCAAAAACTATAATTATTTGGAAAAAAAGAAAAGGTTTCTCTTTAATTCTGATAAAACGTATATTTCCGCTCTAGAACTCGATGGGAATGTAAAATCTTAATTTAAAATGAAAACCTGCAGGCATGCTTATGAAGCTATCTTAGGACTAAGACATCTCTTAAGACGAACTTACGACATATCTTGGTCTTAAGTGAGGCCATCGAAGCTATCCTATCTTAGGAGACCTCCTAATCTTAGTCCTAACTTTAAGATGACTGCGGACATTGTCATATCTAGGTGAT